TATTTGGTGGGGTTGGTTGGTTTTTACTAATTTATATTTGTTTTTAAAAAATTTTATCAGTGTCGAGGTTAGTTGCGTTGGTTAAGTTGGTTATTTGGTGGGTTGGATAACTTTGGTTGGTCCTTATATAATTCCTATATTTCATAAAGCCGTCAAGTGCGTCACATCAACGACGTCATACCTATTAACGGCAGTTTAAGTACAGCCTTAATTTAAAGTATGTTTTTTTACTTTGTTTTGGACCGACATATACAAGCAAAATAGAATAAATAGAAATATAATCCTTTTTTACAATTTTGAAGACAATTATTCAATTTTGAAGACACCAAACTTTTTAATAAATAAGTGTCGGGCTAACATATTTATCTATTTACATTTGGTTTGTTAATCTTTGGTATCTACTTTTGTTTTATAAAGGGTGTCCCAGAAATAAGTGCAAGTTTTTAACTGGTAGTATAGTTCAACCCCAGACGCACGCCTATGAGGTTTTCTTACGTGAAAAAATTTTTGAAAATTTTTTTGAATTTTTGAAAATTTTTTTGAATTTTTTTTTGGTTTTTAGTTAAAACCATAATTTCTTGATAATATGGCTACATAGGTATTAGATTGAATTTACAAGTAAGAAACCCAGAAAAGATCCAGTGGATGGTTCTCAAAATTTTATCAAAAAACCTTTTTTGAAGTTTTCAAAGTAAAATAACTCCGTTATTTTGGACATATTTGAAAAACGATAGAGAGAAAATGTGTTTCTTTTTATCTCTTAAAATACTTGCACTTGCGATCTACCACCCCTTAAAATACTTATTTCTGGGACACACTGTATAATAAGGTTTTTATTTGTATACAAGGTGGTCTGAACTGTATTCTGGAATCTTCGGCAGCATATTCTACAGAGAAAAATAAGTAGAAATGTTCGTATAAATGTATGTCCTAATGCTTAGTTTCGAGATACAGGGTGTAGAAGTTTTATTTATATTTCGATTTTTTATTTCTGTAGTAATAACGTCAAGTAGTAACGTCAATATTTGGATGAAAATTTGTGTCTGGGTGATTTTTGACATGAGAAATTTGATGTTGGAGTTTAAGTTTCCGGAATTGGATTCCACCCTGTATAAAATGGTTTTGTTGCAACAAATGACCAATATAGAATACCATACTATATGAATACATTTTGCTCTATTCCTTAAGGGACTCTTATCCCTTAGTGGACTCTGGTAAGTCCGACCAACGGACTTACCAGACGGTCACCCGTCCAAACGCTTACTTCAGTAAACGTCGCTTCACTCTTGTAATTTAAACCGGAATCGGTGTTTTGACGCAGTTAAATCGACACTTAGAAGAAATTGAAGATAGTGCGCGTATAACAGAGAAGAAAGCGTGCAACGACGACCAACAAGCAATATGCAAATAAAGAAAGTTGAGGAGATTTGTTTAAGAAAAAGCGACCTGTTTGGGAAAAATCTCAACTGAGCGTAAGTAATTTGCGGTTTCGAGTCGTGACCGTTGTCACGCTATCTAAAGAGCAAACAACAATTTAGGTGATATTTATGACAATAAGCATGTAATGAATTTAGTCATGGGGAAATACCGAGAGATTGAAATAATATACCCATCGCTAAAATTAACAAATATTTAACATTAAATCGGAGATTTTACATTTTTTAAGTTATGCCATCAATTTTATTAATTTCTTTAATTATTTTTTATTTTAATTTATATTATAAGTGTCTTAGCATATTTATCATTCATCTTTTTATTTTATATTTTGTCTAATGTTTTTATACTTCAATGTGTTTTATTTATTTATCATTATTCAGAGGCCCTTTTGTGCCGGATCCTCTTTTATCGCAGACTTTGCAGTAAAGTCTTCTTTGACACATGTTGAGTTTGATCAGGTAGCACTTGACAGCTATATGTCCTGTCAGAGACTTGTTATAAAAATCAATCTTTTTTATACAGGGTTGTTCACCACATACGACACAGCGTATTGTAGCTAAACGATTAGATTTTTACAAATTGTTGTACAAGTTTTGGATTCGTTGAAGGATTATTAGAGCTACAATTTAAAAATAATTTTACAAGGTACAGAGTGTCCCAAATAAGTAAAAAATATTATAGTTGAATTTATTTAAATAGAATACCCTGAATATTATTCTATTTTTAGATTCTACGATAGAAATAAAGGTAAATTTGATTAAGGTTTATCACACTTAAACCTTACCGTTTTTGAAATATTTTCAATTTTATGAAGTTGCAGTAAAAAATTTAAGGCTCCATTTCTCCAAGGGTATCAAAGTTTTTAATACTAAATATTTACTAAAGATTATTTATTGATCAGATGATATGTCGCATATGTTACATTATACAGAGTGTCAAAAAATTTATATTAAATAATTACTAGCTTTAAACGGCAATAACTTCTTTAATTTAAATGGAACACCTTGTATATTTAATGTGAATCAGACGCACAATTTAATTGTCTATCAAATTGAATTATATCATCTTTTACCTATCTCTTCAGGTTTTCGTAAAAATGCAGTTCTTGATAATTTAGACCTCATTTATCATTATACGTGATTATACCCATGGAATATTGACATTTTAGATTTTTTTAAAGATGTAACAAATTTTCAAAGAGCGCAGACACTAATAATGTCGATATAGTTTGCTTATTTCATTAAAAAATAAAAAAAAGTTTAAATATTTTTTGTTAAAGAGAACCAATTAATATGATCCCTGTATTCAAACTAGATTGACCGTTTACATTGATTAATAATTCCTCCAAATACTAAAAAACGGAATTTTCGTATATTTTCTCAAATCATTCAATGGAATTATAAAAAAATCGAACAAAATAAAGGAATCGCGATCAAGTTTAAGTAGTGTTCGTTGGTGGTTGCACAATCGGATCTCGATCGACCTCCAGCGCCG